ATAAACTTAGTTAACTAGTTACTCTTTACTGTCTTTATCAATTTTAATTGAAATGATCATAATGCCAACTTCCAAGATGGTGTTCATCTTGATGGAGAAAATTGTTATTTTTGTAAGATTATTATATTATTATTATTATCATTATTATAATTATTATTACTATTATTACTATTGTACAAAATACAATCTCATCAAAGCAATCACATATAAAATATATATGCATATTATAATTTTAATAGTAATATTATGCTTATTTATTATTGTTGAAATCATTAATGATATTATGTATATATTACTATATTGTATTTCTGTTATTTCAAAATTATATTTTAATATTACAATGAATTACATTGTTAGTACTGTTATATAATAATATTATTTATAATATTTTTATTACCACTATTGATATAATTACAGTATTATCATCATCCGTCATCATCAACCTCATCATATTCGTCATCGTCATCATCATTCTCATTCTCATTGTTGTCTAATCATTATAATCATCCTTACTATCATCGATCGTTGTAATCATCACCATCATCATCATCACATCATACTCATCCATCGTCATCGTCCTCAAATTCATCCTGTCCTTATCAATCATCTATTGTCGTTATCATCATCCTCATAATCTTCATCCTCCTCATTCTTCATCATCCTCCTCATCATCATATTCATCCACATCCATCATCCTCATCATCATCAATGGCATAGCCAGCTATTGGCACAGTTAGGACAGTCCCACACCATTTTTCCAATGGGTCCACAAAAAATGGTCCACATTTTAAAAAAGGGTCCAAATTATGTAATTTTATGCATAAAATGGATCCAGATACCTTATATTTAGTTAAATATGGGTAAAATTTAAGAAAATCAGTCCAGATATTTAATATTTTTGCGTAAAATGGGTCCAAATAAAGTGGGTCCGCTCTGATATTGTCCCACACCGTTTGAAAATCCTGGCCATGGCATTGATCCTCATCCATCACCGTCACCCTCATCACCATCCTCACCAATCATTGTTAACATCATCACCATCACCTTCATCCTACTAATCATTCTCATCCATCATCATCCTTATTCTCATCATCATCAACCTCATCCTCCTTATCATCATCACTCATTCATCATCGTAGTCCTCATTATCATCATCATTGTCATTATCATCCTCATCATCATCCTCGTTACAATAATCATCTCTCATCATCAACCACATCATCATCCTTATTAATCATCATTATCAATCATCATCCTCATCATGAGGATGATAATGAAGAGGGTGAGGACGACAAGAATGAAGATGAGGATGAGGGGCAGACGGAGACGGGATGTTTCTCATCATTCGTCATCATTAACCTCATCAACATCATTCTCATCAATCATCCTCATCATTATCACGATCACCCTCATCAACGACCATTATCATCAATCATAATCATCATCATCATCATCCTTATTTTCATCATCATCAAACTCATCATCCTAATCCTTCTCCTTATTATCATCATTATCCTCACCATCCTTATCAGCATCATTTTTTTCCTCATCATCATCCATCATCA